TGCCTCTTGGAGGCCAAGCGTGGTGGCTCATGCCTGTAATCTCAGCACTTTGGGAGGCCGAGGCAGGTGGATCACCTGAGGTCAGGAGTTCGAGATCAGCCTGGCCAACATGGTGAAACCCCGTCTCTACTAAAAATACAAAATTAGCCGGGTGTGGTGGCGGGCACCTGTAATCCCAGACACTCAGGAGGCTGAGGCAGGAGAATCGCTTGAACCTGGGAGGCAGAGGTTGCGGTGAGCCGAGATTGCGCCACCGCACTCCAGCCTGGGCGACAGAGCAAGACTCTGTCTCAACAACCACCACCACCACCAAAAGAGTTCTGCCTCTTGGAGCACCCAGTCTAGAGAGACAGAGAACAGGCGACCAAGGGATGAACAAAGGAATACCAAGGACACAAATAAAACAGAGGCTCCTTCACACAGGACGGCCGGGGCAGTGACACCCTGAGGAGGTGACATTCCAGGGGAGATGGAAGGTCTGTGGACCAGGCAAAGAGCCCTGAGAAGGAATGTCATGGGACAGCAGGGCGAACGGGCAAAGTTCCCGAGGTTGCACGTCAGCAATTTCTAAAAATGCTGACGCAAGAAGGTCAGGGCACACAGGGGAAGGGCGGGGCCAGGAGGATGTGGCCGAGGTCCACCCAGGCTCCGAGCAGCCGAAAGGAACATGAACGCAGGCCTGAGGGCACTGGGGTGCCGGGGGCAGGCTCTGGGCAGAGGAGGGACAGGACGAGCCTGAGTGTTGTGGCAGCTGGATACTGGTGCCCCAAAAGATATCCACATCCTGATCCCCAGAACCTGTGAATGTGTGACCTTACAGGGCTAAGGGGTCCTGGCAGATGGGATTACATTAAAGACCTTGAGATGGGGGCCAGGGCTGGTGGTTCAGGCCTGTAATCCCAGCACTATGGAAGGCTGAGGCGGGAGGATCACTTGAAGTCAGGAGTTTGAGATCAGCCTGGCCAACATGGCAAAATCCAGTCTCTATTAAAAATACAAAATTAGCCGGGTGTGGGTGGTGGATGCCTGTTATCCCAGCTACTTGGGAGGCTGAGGCAGGAGAATCCCTTGAACCCGGGAGGCAGAGGTTGCAGTGAGGCAAGATCACGCCACTGCAGTGTAGCCTGGGAGACTGAGTGAGATTCCATCTCAAAAAAAAAAAAAGAGAAAGAAAGAAAGAAATTGACTAAGCAAGGAAAAACAGTGTGACCTGACAAACTTCTCCATTTTATTGCTGTACTTATGCAAGAGTATGTTCTTAGGAGAATCACACTGAAGTGTGTAGGGTGACGAGATGGTGACTGCGGTAAAGTCCCACATGTGAATGACAAAGCAAATGGAGCAAATGTTAACTAGAGAAGCTGGGTCAAGGGTGTTCGGCTGTTTTCTGTACTACTCTTACAACTTTTCTAAAAGTTTGAAGTTCTTTCAACTTTTTTTTTTTTTTTTTTGAGATGGGATCTTGTTCTGCCGCCCAGGCTGGAGTACAGTGGCACAGTCATGGTTCACTGTAGCCCTGATGTCCCAGGCTCAATGATCCTTCCACCTCAGCCTCCTAAGGAGGTGGGACCACAGGCATGCGCCACCATGCCCAGCTCATTTTAAAATATTTTTTATAGACATAGGGGTCTTGCTATGTTGCCCAACCTGGTTTTGAATTTCCGGGCTCAAGTGATTCTCCTGCCTCATAAAGTGTTGGAATTGCAGGTGTGAGCCACCGCACCCGGCCGCTACCAGAATTTTAAATGACAATGATTTTTTTTTGAGTCAGAGTCTCACTCTGTTGCCCAGGCTGGAGTGCCATGGCGTGATCTCGGCTCACCGCAACCTCCGCCTCCTGGGTTCAAGTGATTCTCCTGCCTCAGCCTCCTGAGCAGCTGGGATTACAGGCATGTGCCACCACGCCCAGCTAATTTAGTATTTTTAGTAGAGACGGGGTTTCACCATGTTGGCCAGGGTAGTCTTGAACTCCTGACCTCAGGTGACCTGCCTGCTTCAGCCTCTCAAAGTGCTGGGATTACAGGTGTGGGCTACTGTGCCCAGCCCACGATAAAGATTTTTAAAAACAACAAATGGAAACAGAATATAAACAAACAACATTGTAATGTTTGTATTAAATCATGCTAGGAGGAACACTGGGGCAATCTCCCACTCACATTTCACAGAGGGGAGGGAAGCCTCACCTGCTTAGCACACAACCACCTGGAGGCTGGGAGCGAGGCCACCCTTCCCCACCCCTCCCTGCCTGTCCCTCCCGCCCTGCCCCTGCTCACTGGGATCCTGCTCGGCGTCCATCTTGGCCTTGAGCAGCATCCGCAGCCGCGATACCTCCTGTCGCTTGAGCTCATCCAGCTTGGTGCGGACATGGTGGCTGACGAAGTCCAGCTCTCGGCTCAGCTTCCCGCTCTGACAGGAGAGGAGACCCTGGTCAGCCTGGGGGCCTGGGAGGGGGCATGCTGGGCGGCCTCGGCCTGCTCTCTGTCTTCTCTGGCAGCTTCTTACAAGCTTTCTCATGCCCCAGTCTTATACCGCCTCTTCCCTGCTTATAGTCCCCCAGCTCCTCAGAGTCTTCAGGAAGGACAGCTCCCAGCCCGTCAGCCTGGCATTCAAGGCCCTGCCTACCTCTGCTGCCCCATCTCCCGTCATTCATCAAGTCACACGTTTAGGGCCAGGTGCGGTGGGTCACACCTGTAATCCCAGCACTTTAGGAGGCTGAGGTGGGAGAATCGCATGAGCCCAGGAGTTCAAGAGCAGCCCGGGCAACATGGCAAGTCCCTGTCTCTAGAAACAATAAAAAATTAGCTGGGCATGGTGGTGAGACCCAGGCCCACAAGGACAGACCCTGCTACCAGGGTTCAGTGTCCTACTCAGTGAAATGGGGACAATGACAGTGCTCCTAGAGGCCTGACATGGGAGTTCATGGTGACGTGAGGGACACCAGCACCTCCCTTATTTTGAATTCTTCCTCTGTAGAAGGCACCATAGGAGCATTCTGTTAGTGCGACCCTCTCATAGCACTTGCTAAGGAGTGTCACCATGCTCTTCCACACCCTTTACACATCTTTCTTTGGAAAATCCAAAGCCCAGAATCCTTCCCTTGGAAAATCCAAACCCGAACCCTGCTTTTTCCAGATGGGGAAACTGAGGCACGGTGCGGGGAGGCCCCATAGCTGGTAAGTGGTGGAGCTGCAACTGAAAGCCTGCCCCGCGGGACTCTGCACTAACCTCGTATTCTGTGCTCCCCAAAGCTCTTCCCAGCTTGTGACCCCAAGAAGCAACTTCTCCCTGAGCCTCATTTTGGTGATTTCAAATACAGGCAGAGCTGGAGCCATGTGGCCCCTTTGAAGAAACCAGTATGGCCAGGCACGGTGGCTCACGCCTGTAATCCCAACACTTTGGGAGGCCGAGATGGGCAGATCACAAGGTCAGGAGTTCGAGACCAGCCTGGCCAACATGGTGAAACTCCATCTCTACTAAAAATACAAAAATCAGTCAGGCATGGTGGCGTACGCCTGTAATCCCAGCTACTTGGGAGGTTGAGACAGGAGAATCCCTTGAACCCAGGAGACAGAGGTGCAGTGAGCTGAGATCGTACCATTGCACTCCAGCCTGGGTGTCAGAGCAAGACTCTGTCTCAAAAAAAAAAAAAAAAGAAAAAGAAAAAAAGAAACCAGTCCTCTCCTGAACTCTGTCCCACCCCGCACGTACCCCTCCCACAGCCCCCACTGCCCCCAGCCGCACCTTGATGTCCTCCGCATTGGCAGCTTGCAGCTTCTCTCGGAAATGCCCATCTGTCTCCAGCACATCAATGACCTCCTGGAGGTACCGGTGGTAGTACAGGCCTGTGTCCTGAGGCAACGAGGACAGACATAGCAGCCCCTGCTCCCACCCCCACCCCCACCATCACTCCTGTTACTGTTATGGCCACTCCCTAGGGCAGCTGACGAGGGACTCGTCAGTTTTTACCTTTTCCCATATATGTAGCAAAGATGAAATGAAAATCACATCAGTGAACACCCAGCCCAATACTGCCCAGAGTGGGTGCTCAGAGTGGACATGACTTGTTGGGAAGCTGTGAATCATACCTTTATCCATCTATCCAACCATCCATTCATCCATGCATCCACTCCCCTATCCATATATCCCACCCACCCATCCATCCATACATCCCACCCACCCATCTATCCACCCATCATCCATCCATCCATCCACCCACCCATACATCCATCCACCCATCCATCCATACATCCCACCCACCCATCCATTCACCCATAATCCGTTCATCCATCCATCCATCCATCCATCCATCCACCCACCCACCCACC